GGAGGGAGGGAGGGAGGGAGAGAGAGAGAGAGAGAGAGAGAGAGAGAGAGAGAGAGAGAGAGAGAGAGAGAGAGAGAGAGAGAGAGAGAGAGAGACAGAGACAGAGACAGAGACAGAGACAGAGAGAGAGAGAGAGACAGAGAGAGAGAGAGAGAGAGACAGAGAGAGAGAGAGACAGAGAGACAGAGAGACGAGAGAGAGAGAGAGAGAGAGAGAGAGAGAGAGAGAGAGAGAGAGAGAGAGAGAGAGAGAGAGAGAGAGAGACAGAGAGAGAGAGAGAGAGAGAGAGAGAGAGAGAGAGAGAGAGAGAGAGACAGAGAGAGAGAGAGAGAGAGAGAGAGAGAGAGAATGAATGCTTGGGCAGCTTAAACAACAATGACAGATAACATCTTAAGATATAAGCATGTCATCAATGTAGTGTGCACCCTCTTCCCCTGCTCCTCCTCTTCCTCCTGCTGTGCCCCGCTCCTCTACCACAGGTCACATGTGTTGTGGTGCTCACACCTGGCCAGTCTTACCCACCTATCACTTGAGGCGAGCCCTCCGTGGCACATACCTGGCACTGCTTCAATACCACCCACATGTGTGCAATGATACACGCATCTACGTAAACACACACACAAACTCCATTCATAAATGTAAAAGTAGGTAAGACAGGGAAATGGTTCAGGCGTCGTTGTATTAGACGGTATAAAGATGTCTATAGAAAGTGAAATAAGTTTATTGAGGTATAAATACAAAGGGATGAGGTAGGTGAAGCTGTTCTCGCCCCGTTCACATGGCTATAGATAAGACCAGCGGGGTTACCTTGCTGTGATTCCCAGGATCCTCGCCGCGCCCAGACGTGTGCACCACAGCCTGGTTGATCAGTTATCCTCTGGAGATGTTTAGAGTTCTCTTCTTTAGAGAGAAAGGACAGCCTTTCTACACATAAAATTGTCCCTTATGTGTAGTGGGAGAGTGTTGAACAGTCTCGGGCCTCTGATGTTGATAGTTCTCTCTCAGAGTACCTGTTGCACCTCTGCTCTTCAACGGGGGTATTCTGCACATCCTGCCATGCCTTCTGGTCTCATGTGATGTTATTTCTGTGTGCAGGTTTGGGACCAGCCCCTCTACTATTTTCCACGTGTAAATTATTATGTATCTCTCCCGCCTGCGCTCAAGAGAATACAGATTTTAAAATTTTATGCAGTAAATTATTTCGATGGTTATTGAGTACATTCTAGTAGTAAATTATCTTTGCACCATCTCCAGGTCAACAATTTCAGCAATGGGGGCTGTTAGTGTGCAACAATATTCCACCCTAGAGAGCTCTAAGGTCTAGAAAAGTATCACTTATGTCATATCTTGTTTGGAAGGTTCTTGTTGTCCAACCTGTCATTCTTCTTGCTCTCGTCATCAGCATTAATCAAGCCTTTAAGCAACCACTTACGAAACTTGTACATCTTTTCTCAACCATGGAGGCTTTGTTTACATTATATAAACAGTTGGTGAGCTCTGAAGCACTAGGAGGTTGTTTATAACAATAATAACCTCGTGTTTGTCAAGTTTCCAAACTCGTAAACTGTTTAATAAATGTTAAAAGAAACCCGCCATAATTGTTGAAGGATGTACAGGTTTCGTAAGTGGACGTGTAAATGTTATGAGTCCAGGACCTGCTCCCTCAGTACTTTCACGTGGTGCAAAACCCTTCACCTCAGGAAGGTCCCTGGAAACACAAACCGAAACTGTCTCTATTTTCCGCTTGTTACAACTTGTAATAAAGTTGTTACATCTTGGGTTAACGTGTTTATGACGTATTAGAACGTTGTTACAACTTGCTATATTGGTTGTTATAACTGGTTAGGTGGTGTTAAAAGTTGTTCGAACGTTGTACCAACGTCGTAGTTTCGGTGTGTGTTTGGCGGGGTGTGTTGTTGCGTAGCCTTCTAGGTTTGACTTGCCACTGTTCAGGTTAGGGGATCCATGCCGGGTCTGCATATTCCCAGTGGAGTCCCTCATGGGTCATACACAGCCCACAAGGCTCCAACCTCCAAGTTTCTGACGGATCACTGACGTCGTCATGGTAATTTTTATTATTATTATTATTATTTTCTACCACAGACGTGGCCACACATTTACAATGCTAACCAGCATATATACATTTTCTTCTGTCCTCCATGGAAAATGTATATATGCTGGTTAGCATTGTAAATGTGTGGCCACGTCTGTGGTGTGTGCTTCTAGTATCACATTTATCATAATACCATTTCTGATACAACACTCTGACTCCCCTACATCCTATACTGTACATAGGGCTTCCAACTCCTGCTCCAATCCTCATAACTTTGCATTTTGCTGAGTTCAATTCTAGCAGCCATTTTTTTCAGACCACTTGTGGAGTGTACAGATACGTTTGCAATCTATACCTAATCTGCAGGCGATGAGTCACAATAACGTGGCTAAATTATGTTGACCAGACCACACACTAGAAGGTGAAGGGACGACGACGACGTTTCGATCCGTCCTGGACCATTCACAATCGACTTGAGAATAGTCCAGGACGGACCGAAACGTCGTCGTCCCTTCACCTTCTAGTGTGTGGTCTGGTCAACATATATCTAACCTGCCTCTTCTCAATTTAGTTTTTATCGTATGCTAGTATTGATATGAAGGAGGTAATTTCGTCTGTCAGGTCATGGACATATATTAGAAACAGGCTGGGCCCCTGGAGCCAACCCCTGTGGTACTCCCAACCTCTCTCCACACACGGGAGACATCTCCCGTCACGCAGGGTGCAGTCGCGCCTCCACAGATCTCCAGTATCAGCTCTTGATACTGGTAATGGCTCAAAAGGGCCACCACTTACGGGCTATTCATGCCCGTGCCACCTCTTGGATGGCTTAATCTTTATCAATTAATCTCTCCACCCCGATGTCTGCACGGGCATGAATAGCCCGTAATGCTCTTACCTTCTGCTTCTTGAGAGGTACTCTCTCTCTCTCCCACCTTAACACTCATCTGACACGCCAACCTCCTGCTTCTTTACCTTGAGGAGGAGTCTCCAGCATTCCTCAGCATCCAATGCTTTCTAAGAGCCAAACATTATGCAGTGTGCGTGAGTGCGTGCAAGTACCCGTGCGTGCAAGCGTAGGTTTGAACATGCGTTTGTGCCTGTGAGCGTGTAAGCGTGTGCGTGCGTGTGTGCGTGTGTGTGTATGCGCGCGTTTATCTTCCATGGCTGTGAGTGTCAGTGTGTCGAAGACCTGTGACTCAGGCTCATAAATACTTCACTAGGAACTAGTTATTCTGCATTCCTTATAAGACGCCGCCCCTCCCCCCCCCCACCCCCGTTGACACACGCGTCTCGCCGTTAAATCACCGTTAGTCTTGGTCACTGTTTGTTTGACGTCTTGATGACGTAGTGACGGTCGTGGGGGGCGGGGGGAGGAGGGAGAGGGGAGGGGGAGAGGGAGGGAGAGGGAGGGAGAGGGAGGGAGAGGGAGAGGGAGGGAGAGGGAGGAGAGGGAGGGAGAGGGAGGGAGAGGGAGGGAGAGGGAGAGGGAGAGGGAGGGAGAGGGGAGAGGGAGGAGAGGGAGAGGGAGGGAGAGGGAGGGAGAGAGAGGGAGAGAGAGGGAGAGAGGAGGGAGAGAGAGAGGGAGAGAGAGGGAGAGAGAGGGAGAGGGAGAGGAGAGAGGGAGAGGGAGGGAGAGGGAGGGGAGAGGGAGGGTGGGGGAGGGAGAGGGAGGGAGAGAGGGATGGGAAGAGATGCAGTAGATCTGATACAGAAAAACTGGTTGGAAGTCAATACACTGGATTCTAGATAACCTGATGCACCTGTTCACCTAGCGGTAAGTAGGTACCTGGGAGTTAGACAGCTGCTACGGACTGCTTCCTGGGGATGAGTGTGTGTGTGAGGTTATCTTGAGGTTATCTTGAGTTGATTTCGGGGCTTTAGTGTCCTCGCGGCCCGGTCCTCGACCAGGCCTCCACCCCCAGGAAGCAGCCCGTGACAGCTGTCGAACTCCCAGGTACCTATTTACTACTAGGTAACAGGGGCATCAGCGTGAAAGAAACTCGGCCCATTTGTGTCTGCCTCCACCGGGGATCGAACCCGGGCCCTTAGTACTACGACCCCTGAGCACTGTCCACTCAGCCGCGAAACCCCTTGCGTGCGCGCGCGCTCGTGCGTGTGTAATATGTGCAGAAGAAATATATGTGGTAGATATAAGAGGCAAAACAGACTGGTTAACAAGGCGGGGTCCAAGAGCTAATAGCTCGATTCTGCAGACACAGACAGACAGGACAGACACACACACACACACACACACACACACACACACACACACACACACACACACACACACACACACACACGCGCACACACGCACACACACGCACACACACGCACACACACGCACACACACGCACACACACGCACACACACGCACACCCACACACACACACACACACCACACAACACACAACACACACACACACACACACACACACACACACACACAACACACACACACACAGCACGCACACACACGCACACACACGCACACACACGCACGCACCACGCACGCACACGCACACACACGCACGCACACGCACGCACACACACACACCACACACACATCACAGGAAGTGATGTGGTGGAGGCTGACTCCATACACAGTCTCAAATGTAGATATGATAGAGCCCAATAGGCTCAGGAACCTGTACACCAGTTGATTGACAGTTGAGAGGCGGGACCAAAGAGCCAGAGCTCAACCTCCGCAACCACAAATATGTGATCACACACACACACAGCCCGCGGCACCTCACGTGGACACAATCAGGTAACCACCACGATGACTGCCAAACAATTTAACAGAGGAGCGTTGCTATCCACCATCCACCAGTCACTAACCGTAGGACGCTCCTCCCCCTTCCCCCCCCCCGGCCACCACACCACCTTAACTACCACTCAGGTTGCCCCTCGCGCTCAGCACCCATCATGGCAGTGTGGTCCCCGGACACAGGTCTGACTCGTCCCTGGAGCCCAATTCCCGGGAAAGGTAGTTACGGGGAGTGTAATGATGGGGAACTATGGACCAGACACAGCTCACTACCTGTTGACAGCCTCGTTGAGGTCGCCGCACCCCCCCAACCCCCCTACCCCCCCCCCCCACACACACACAAACCGACCTTCACACAACACATCAACAACATTTCGTAACATCAGTGTGTCTACCTTCAAATCAATATTTGTCAACACTTGAATGAACAATATTAAAATAAGTAACACTAATGAAGAACATTATTAACCTTTTTGATTAATGAACCTTAATTAAAGATCAAGCTTTTGCGGATAATAATATTATCAACAAGTTATAATAATAATAATACACAGACAAATGACATTACCGTGATACATCAATGAAAAACTCCACAGGAGCCGTGATGAGGGTTCGAACCTGTGGGGTGGGTGTTCCTAGACGCACGCTCTAAACCACTACGCCACCACATGCTCCAAAGACTTGCAGCCTGGGGTACTACTCTGCTCCCTCGAGCATTCGCTTGACCTTGTCGTGGCGTAGTAGTTTAGAGCGGGCGTCTGGGAATACCCAATACACAGGTTCGAATCCTCTTCACGGTTCCTGTGGAGTTTTTCATTAATAATAATATTTTATATTAATAATAATATATAAATTACAGAAACTAGAAGACGGCCAACCTACTCATGAAGAACTCCCCAGACACCAAAGAGAACGCCTTAAGAGAGACCAACGTCGTCTATGCCTTCACATGCCCACTTGGGGACTGTCAGTCCCAAAGATCTCAGTATATAGGCAAGACCACAACGTCTCTTTCTAGGCGATGAAATAATCGACAGGTAAAACAACAACAGAAGACTGGACATCAGCGAGGCCCTACACATCAAAAAGTCAACACCAGCAATCAACATCCAGTTAACACATAATTACAGTCTACCCACTTCAAGACCCCGAGCCAAGAGACAGGATTCGCAAGAACATAAGCTGCTGATGTTGATGCATGTAATTGGAACTACTTGGAACTGTTGTTCAGAGTAGCCGAATCTAAAACAACAGTATGGTAAATTAGTCTTTGAGTGTGTAAGGAGTGACCATGCGAAACGCACCCCCCCCCCCTAGGCATCAGACCATAATAAAAGGTGTGAAAATGAACTTTGTAGTTAATTTTTCACCTTTCCTCGACAATGAAGAAAAACATAAGACCACCACCTCGACCACCACTATGCTCCTCAACCACCACAACCACCCCTCCTCCCCCCCCCCTCAACCACCCCCACCCCACCCATCACCACAACCTCCCTGTAAATACCTTAATATTCTCCCCTACGTTTAACCTCAGTATTTGACATGCTTTAAATTACACCTCAATATTGTCCTTGTGTGGTGAATGTATGAGTCAGTGTACGCTACACCCACCAGCAGTGTTGTGTCTACCCTCGCTACACCCACCAGCAGTGTTGTGTCTACCCTCGCTACACCCACCAGCAGTGTTGTGTCTACCCTCGCTACACCCACCAGCAGTGTTGTGTCAACCCTCGCTACACCCTCCAGCAGTGTTGTGTCAACCCTCGCTACACCCACCAGCAGTGTTGTGTCTACCCTCGCTACACCCACCAGCAGTGTTGTGTCTCCCCTCGCTACACCCACCAGCAGTGTTGTGTCTCCCCTCGCTACACCCACCAGCAGTGTTGTGTCTACCCTCGCTACACCCACCAGCAGTGTTGTGTCTCCCCTCGCTACACCCACCAGCAGTGTTCTGTCTCCCCTCGCTACACCCACCAGCAGTGTTGTGTCTCCCCTCGCTACACCCACCAGCAGTGTTGTGTCTACCCTCGCTACACCCACCAGCAGTGTTGTGTCTCCCCTCGCTACACCCTCCAGCAGTGTTGTGTCTACCCTCGCTACACCCACCAGCAGTGTTGTGTCTACCCTCGCTACACCCTCCAGCAGTGTTGTGTCAACCCTCGCTACACCCTCCAGCAGTGTTGTGTCAACCCTCGCTACACCCTCCAGCAGTGTTGTGTCTACCCTCGCTACACCCACCAGCAGTGTTGTGTCTACCCTCGCTACACCCTCACACACTCCCACGGTGCCATACATCCTCCTCCCCTCGCTACACCGCCTCGGGGACCGTGTACACCCTCACCGGCCAGCGGCACCCCACCAGCGACCCTCTGGCGATGAACACATTACTCGTTCACCACCATCTATGCCAGGAATGTTCTCACCAATTACTTTTTTTCTCCTCCAACACATTCAAATTGAAACCACTGCATCATTTCCGTCACTAGTGGTGGTCTTGTTGTGAGAAACTAACCATCACACACACATATCTACAGGGTAGATAAAGATAAAATGTTTAACACTGGTGGGACGCGAACAAGGGGACACAGGTGGAAACTGAGTACCCAAATGAGCCACAGGGACGTTAGAAGGAACTTTTTCAGTGTCAGAGTAGTTAACAGATGGAATGCACTAGGCAGTGATGTGGTGGAGGCTGACTCCATACACAGTTTCAAGTGTAGATATGATAGAGCCCAGTAGGCTCAGGAACCTGTACACCAGTTGATTGACAGTTGAGAGGCGGGACCAAAGAGCCAGAGCTCAACCCCCGCAAGCACAACTAGGTGAGTACCTGAAGGTAATGGAAGCAATAAATGAGGGGGGGGGGTGTCAACAGGGGGGCGGCAGTACAGGAACAGTGATATGGGCGGGCGGGGCGCTCCCAGCCACTAACCTCATGCCCCCTCACACATAGGGTACATTCACCACACCGACAGCAACACTATACACCTGTATAGCCTTCCTCACTCTCCCTCTCATTCATTCATCTATGTGTCTCAAGTGTGTAGCCTGGCTTGTAGACACCTACACAGCCAGGCTTGCACCTATACAGTCAGACTTACACCTATACGGTCAGGCTTTCATCTATCCCCCTCCGTCTCAGCTCGTGAGAGGCGGGCTAGGGAGTGTTGTGACACCGGCGGTGACGCGCACCGCGCACAAACACTTACTTAAATGATCTTCATTAACACTTACAAAACACCAGCCCGAAAGTCTGCCGTTAACATTGTTGCACACCAGCAACCACAACACCACCCTGAATACCACAGTAATGCGCGGGAGTATTGACCAACAATTGTAATAACAATATAAGGTTAACACTTGGTCAGTACTTCAGTGTGGAGTGCAACATACCTTGAGGGCAATACCATTACTGCGTGATCAATATTCACACTCACGTGTCCGCTAGCGAGTGCCAGCCTTCTCCACATGCTACACACACACACACACCATTACCAATTAATTGGCTAATTTGTAACTACATCAGCTACTTGTGAGCAGTTTTCTGAGCATCATATATCCCCTCAGCGGGTACTTTTTCAATAAGTTCCCAAACTTACTGACTCACGGCGCACGCACACACACACACACACACACACACACACACACACACACACACACACACACACACACACACACACACACACACAGTGTCTTCTTCAGTGTCAGAGTAGTTAACAGACGGAATACATTAGGCAGTGATGTGGTGGAGGCTGACTCCATACACAGTTTCAGGTGTAGATATGATAGAGCCCAGTAGGCTCAGGAACCTGTACACCAGTTGATTGACGGTTGAGAGGCGGGACCAAAGAGCCAGAGTCGTAGTCCCAAGGGTCCGGGTTCCATCCCCGTTAGATTCAGAATTCATTTAATAGAATATATTTAATAGAACCAGGTGACAACAAATAGACACGACAGAAAATGGTAGGCAGACTATATTTTTTTCACAGGGGAGTACCTAAGCAACAGAAGACAGAGATACTGTGAGGGACGTGACCTGTGTGTGGCGAGATGTCACTAGCAGTCTCCAGCAAGGTTCAGTTCTCAGACCTACACTGTTTCTCTTATATAAACGATCATCCAGAGAGAACAGACTTCTTCCTCTCGATGTTTGCTGATGCAAAAATTATGAGGATTAAGACATAGCAATTAGGCAGCAGAAGGCTACAAGATAACCTGAACAAACCGAATGAATGGTCCAGTAAGTGGCTACTAGAATTGAACTCAAGTAAATGTAATGAAACTAGGTGTAGGAAGCAGGAGGTCGGACACAGATGACAATGGGAGATGAAATCTTTCGAGATTCAGGCAGAGAAAGATTTGGGGGTTGATATCACATCGAATCAGTCTCCTGAAGTTCACATCAAAATGATGTCATCAGCGGTATATGTGAGGCTGGCAAACATAGGAACTGCCTTTAGAAACTGGTGTAAGGAATTATTCAGAACCTTGTGTACCACATACGGCAGACTAATCCTGGAATATGTGGCACCAACATGAAGTCTTTGAGTACTGCTCAGTACTTGTACTCACTTCCCCTTTCAGAGCAAGAAGTTTCTGAATTAGAGGGAATACAGAGAACTTATTACGGCACGCATACACACAATAAAACATCTAAATTAGTGAGACAGTCTCAAAGCTCTTAATATGTACTCTCTAGAGAGAACACGGGAGAGGTATCAAATAATATATACATGGAAGATACTGGAGGATCAAGTACACAATTTACACAGTAGATAACAACACACTGTAGTGAGAAATACGGAAGGAAATGCAGAATAGAACCAATGAAGAGTAGAGGTGCCATAGGCACAATCAGAGAACACCGTCTGAACATCAGAGGTCCACAGCTGTTCAACACCCTCCAGCAACCAGTAGAAATATTGCTGGAACAAAGGTGGATATCTTCAAGAAACATCTAAATAAGTTCTTCCAATAAATGCCTGACCAACCGGGTTGTAGTGGATAATTGGCCGCTCCAAGCAACAGCCTGTTGGACCAAGTTATCCCAAGTTCAGCCTGGCCCCCAGGCCGGGCTCGCGAAATAGAACTATCGATACCTTCTCCAGGTATTCTCCAGGTAAGTCGATATGTAGTCAAGCACAAGCCGAAGTTGGAGAAGGTTCAAAGGTATGACCACCAGA